GTGTGTGTGTTTGTGTGTGTGTGAAGAGTTCATTGCATTGTCGAATTGAAATGTTGATCAAAATAGAATCCAACTTTCTATCTTGCTCCTTACACTTTTTTTGTTTATTTGTTTTCCTTCCTTTCATTCCTCTCCTTATATTATTTGTGACTTTTGACCATTTCTTCTCTTGTCTATAATACGTTTAACACAAGATATTGTATGACTACAAATAGTCGAGCAATATTTTCTGTCACACTTGCATTTCCAATAGCTTTTTTTCTCACACCAATTCTTTTAATATATATTTTTTCTCCCCAAGAAAAGCAAAACTGCCAGAGTTGTGGGACATTTTTAAATGTACTCAGTGCCTATCTCTCTTTTTATTCTCTCTCTTCTCTCCTCGCTTACTATCGCTCCTTTGCTGTCGCTCCCAAAAGACTGCTGTCACCCTCTATTCTGTCATCCCTTTCCTGCTGCTGTACCTGCCGGAGCAGCTTTCATATCTCTGCAAATCCCCAAAGACACTTTCTGTCTTCCTCTCTCTAATTTTCTCTGGCTCCCTCTCGCACATGAACTGTATTCCTGCACATGGACTTCAAAGAGAGAGGGGCACTGCAAAATTTGCTCAAGGATACTCACTGTTTATGATGATTCAGATGCTGTTTTTTGCAATATGTGAAATCAAGCCAGTCTTATGGTAACGTGACATGTTTAGGTGCTACAGTTATATTTTCCAATGCAGTGTGAAAGTTGTATTTGTTAAATATTTTTAAACATGTTTTCCTTTTGTTTTTTACAAACTAATGGGCAAGTTTAAAGGTGTGTCACATTGTTTTTACTGCAATAATAATAATAATAATAATAATATAGTTAAAGGGATAGTTTACCCCAAAATGAAAATGTACCGTTAATTTACTCACCCCCAGGCCATCCGAGATGTTGGTGACTTTTTTCTTCAGCAGAACAATAAAGAAGAATTGTAGCTGAAACCGTGGTCCTTGGTGATTCATAAAATGCAAGTCAGCTGCTGCCCATTTTTGAGCATATCAGGGAACACAAAATTAATACCCGTTGCTCCTGACGATATATTGAGGTCTTATGAAGCTAACTGATCTGTCTGTGCAAGAAACTGAACATTATTTACAACATTGCTACCTGTAACTCGTAGCCTCTGGTTCTTTTCTGAAAACTGGTTCATTTTGGGGTAAAATATCCCTTTAATTGAAATAAAGCTGAAAAAATAGAAATGCTGCCTTGGCAACAAACTGAAATAAAATGTTTAAGTTTAAATTGTTGAAACTAAAACTGAAATAAACAATTAAATTAAAAGGTATATTTAAAAAAAATCTAATAAACATGAAGAAGATTAGTAAATAAAAAAATTACTAAAAACTAAACTAAACTGAAATATAAAAATAAAATCTAATTAAAAATACATATAGATACTATAATAGTATAATAATAACAAAACTGGCTACATCCACACCTCTAGGTGTCAGTATAAGGTCAAGATGAGTGTGGTATTGACAGCACAACAAACAAAAGATAAAAGTGCACCTTTAAAATAAATAAACCTTATTATAAACCTCATTATAATCAAAAGTAACTAGTCTTGATTTGCAAGACAATCACTGTTGGATCTGTTGTCTTCTTTGGGCCTCCGATTCTGACTTTCCTATTGTGCTGGTCCTCAGAACAGCTCGACATCTGTTTTGACAGGCTGTTGTGAAACTTTGAGGACGTGTGTGCCATGGGACCAGTGAAACGAGCAGTGTCAGTGTTCCTGAAATGAAAAGTGCTTTCTCCATTTTCATTTGCCATTCAGTGCTCCTCTGTTTTGTCAGGAAAATTGGGTTGTTGGTTCACAACTGGGATGTTTCTTTTCAAACTCAGTGTCTGACTCTCTTGCTGTTCGAGGAGAGGATTATAATTTGTATGAAAGATGCTCTCGAGAGATAGAGTTGTCGAAATGAAACTGGATTTGGGGTGCTGTTTTCATTTTCACTCTTTCTGTAAATGTGTAATCATGAAACTAATATGCGCTCTGAGAGTAGACGCTTCTGCTATTCATGTGTCCCTGTTTCTTCTTAGTTTAAAAAGAACATGTCTACAGCCTGCCTTCTCTTGTTTTGTCAAAAATGGGCTTTGTGTAGATGCGTAAACGAATTGGCTTTATTATAGTCAAAAATATTATTTAACATGCTGGATGCTTGTTTTTACAAACCTGTTAGTAACATTTACATTAAAAAGTGAATCTGTTTGTTCAGATGTGACATTTGGAAAGTCTGATTCGTAGTAATGATTTATTGTATTGAATCCATTGGTTCAGATGTTTCTGTCCCTCACATGTAGCATTGGAAAGCCTGACTCATTGCAGTGAATTGGTTTGGTCAAATGGTTCTGTCCTTCATATGTAACAGTGGAAAGCCTGAATCATTGTAGTGAATTGGTTCATTCAGATAGTTCTGTCCTTCATATGTAGCATTGGAAAGTTTGATTCATTATGGTGAATAAGTTAGTTCTGATGTCCCAGATAGCAAAATACACTCGGGCCAGTTCCGGTTAGATTCTCGCCTGCCGGAGACTTACCCTTCGGCCCACTTCCATCTGCTGCACTCTGGGGTAGCATTGAAAAATCTGACTCATTGTAGTGAATTGGTTCATTCAGATGGTTCTGTCCCTCATATGTAGCATTGGACAGTTTTACTCATTGTAGTGAACTGGTTTGTTCAAAAGGATCAGTCCCTTATGGGTAGCAATGGAAAGTCTGACTCATTCTAGTGAATCTGTTCATTTAGACAGTCCTCTCCTGTATGCAGCATTTATTCTAGTGAGTCAGTTCATTTAGACAGTCCTTTCTCTCATAAGTAGCATTGGAAAGTCCATTCAGACCATACTTTTCTCTATGTAGCATTAAAAAAATCTGATTCACTCTAGTAAGTCAGTTCATTTGGACAGTCATCTCTCTCATAAGAAAGTCGGATTCTCTCTAAATGATCATTATTCAGACAATCCTCTCTCTCTCTCATTGTAAAGTCCCATTCATTTTATTGAATCAGTTCAGTTCCTGTACAGTACATGTGCTATGTTTTGACTCAGTTAAGGCCCTGATATACTTCAAACGAAATCGAAGAACGAACTGATGTGGCATCATTTCAAACAAAATCATGCCAAAACGAAGTTAATTTTATGTTAATTTTGAGAGTTCAAAACGGTTTGCCAAAGCGAACTTTCCAGAAAAGATCGCTCCCGCTGCAAAACACCTTCATACTACCACTGGTCTGTGACGATAACTTAATAGGAGGTGTGCGCTCCTATTATTGAATTAAATGACATAAATAAACATGACATGACTTTACTGGAGTGCTACTTTGCAGAGTTCATACTAACATTAACATACCCATGTTGCTATGATCAGACACTTTTCTTATGCTTTATATAAAAAATGCATGCTGTTTTCTCATTTTTGTGGTGTTTATTTTGTTACTAAAAGGAAAGCGTGCAGCACATATTTACATATTCATCTAAACAATGCTTTCAGCAGTGTGGGCACCTGTGGGATTTTCGCTAACAGTATATTGCTGCTCACGTATTTCGAACTTCGTTTTACCCCTAAACAAAGAACGAAAAAGAACTTCACTGTGAGTATATAGGGGCCTTTATGTAAAAAGGATTTTTGTTGTTGCTTAGGAAAGATTTACCTCTTCAGTTTTGATACTGTGAGCCTAACTGGGATTGTTCATTCATTCAAAACCTCACTGTTTTGTTTAAGGAAAAAAAGCCTGAATTATAGTCTGTGTCCGAAAGCTTAAGCAGCTGACCTGTTGCCTCGCTTTGTAGGCAACGTTTGCGCATGAAGGTACCTCCCGAAACTGATTTAGGACAGACTTCTGAGGCAGCATATTAGTTTAATGATCCACAACAAAATAGAGAGAACTTTGGTAACAACTAAGTAAATGTGTAATTAGCCTACTTCAGTGCTTCAGTGGAAAAAGTTGGCCCAAAATGTACATTTACTGTTCACACTGACCACAAATTGCAACTTTCAGAAGCCGTTAGTTTATTGCATAGTTATTAGATAGTTGTTAGTTTTCTTATGAATGTTGCCTTTTTACATGTCCTCGGTGTATTTTTTGTATAGCTTGTAGCAAAGCTTCACTTTTTCAGAGCAGTAGCTCAACTCAACGCAAAATTAATAGTAGCTTGTAAAATCAAAGATGATTTTCCAGCAGTGAATGTAAAGCCAAGAAAAACATTAGAAACAGTGTTGCTGTTTTTCAACTCTGCCTGCAATTTGAGGCAAGGTGATCACCACCTCAGGCAGAAAATGAAGATTCTGTGGCTTTGTTTCTTTTTCTTGCTCTCTATCTCTCTCTCTCTCTCTCTCTCTCTCTCTCTCTCTCTCTCTCTCTCTCTCTCTCTCTCTCTCTCTCTCTCTCTCTCTCTCTCTCTCTCTCTCTCTCTCTCTCTCTCTCTCTCTCTCTCTCTCTCTCTCTCTCTCTCTCTCTCTCTCTCTTTCATTCTTCTGTTCCTGTCAGTTGTAGTCTCTGTATGTGTCTACCTCCATCTGTTCCCTGTCTCTCCATATCACTTCCTTTCTTATACCTCCTACTTTACTTTTCCCCTCTGTTGGGTTTCTCCTCTCTATCCTTCTTTTAATGTGTTGCGGTGCGGTAATCGCTGAGAGCTGTGTCATTGCACTCAGCAGCTCTGATGTCTCTCACTTGCGTGTCTCTTTGTTCCTCGATCGACTCGTGACGGTAAACTCTAAGTGACTTGACGTGGCTTCAAACCTGCTTCCTCTGGAGACTTGTTACATCACACAAACTGTTATTTTCAACTGTCTCTATGTGGTCGCATGTGTCGGTTGCATTGTTTTTGAATATAAAAAAAATTGGAAAATTATCAGCGTGGTTCTTGACCTTGTGACCTCTCTCTCAAAATCACGGCATGGACTATTAGAAAACTGTCCATTTCAAAGCACTTATTGGTGTCTGTCTCTCTCTCTCTTACCTCAGCGTGGAGCCGGGCTGGCAGAGGGTGGTTCAGGTGGATCTGGAGGTGGACGGTGTCGGAAGTACGGTAGGCAGCAGGTCCATTTCCTGGGCAGTGGAATACCCGGGCATCAGGGCCGGCAACGAGGAAACTGAGACGCACATCCACCTGGCACAGAAAGACCTAGTTGGCATCGTGCCGCTGGCTATGGTGAGAACATCGTCATTTCTGCTGTCTCTCAGGGAGGCGCTGGGTCTCTTCTGGGAGTTCTGGGACGGACAGATAAAAGAGGCAGGCGGTCATGCTTTTTAGGCGCCTTTGATATAATGTAAAATGAACCGTCTGGATTGTGTCATGACCATTTTTCGGTTTAGCATAATTTCATGTTTTAAATAGCAATGGTCCAGTAAAAATCTTGAAGACATGAGTGACCAGAATCAAATATTTAAAGTTACAACTACAATTATTTTTAATAAGCTTCAATCATTTACATTCTACACTCTCTGAAAAAAACGACACAATAGTTGGCACTGGGGCAGTGTCCTTTCAAAAGGTACTAAAAAAGTGCCTAATATTAACTCTTTATTATATTTAAAGAACAGAGCCTCTGGTTTCTAGCTTTTTTTTAATCAACACTTGAATGTTTTTAAGTTCCATTAAAAGAAAAAAGAATCATACAAAAAGCTGAGAAAATTGGATTTGGGTCCAAGACTTCGTCTGGATCAGATTCAGAATGATGATCAAAACATGAATTATTAGAGTCCAAGTCCATCAACACCTCCAAGTCTTGTTTTCCTCTTCACGGGCGCCAACATTTTTCTTGGTAACATTAGTTTTTTTTTATTATTATTTATTTATTTAAATGCTGTTGGTGGTCATTTGGTGATCATATTTGTGCGTAAACAACTTCTATCAACTCCGTCTGGTTTACACATATCTTCTTCACTTGTTTTGGATCTGGAAGTGCTGTACCATTTCAGAAGATCCATAACAGCACCACCTACTGGTCCATATAACAGTGAAAACACGGATTGCTGTAAAACCATCAATGGCGGGGAATTTTTGTGTCGTAAATGATGGAAAATGTCATCAATGGTGGGGAAAGAGTTAATGTACTAATATGTACACTTTAGGGGTAAACAAGCTACAAAGTTGTGCCTTTTGAAAGGGTAGCGCCCCTGTACTTTTTTTCCTGTGAGTGTAGATTTTAACTTAATATTAATTAATTTACATTTTATTTTGGCAAATAAAAATAGGTATGAATACTTGTCATGTTATAAATGAATTAGATTTTTTGACTGGTACTTGATTAATCAGAAAATTAAACTTTAATAAAATACTGTAATTGCATGTTTTTATGTGGTCTAATTTTTTATGTTGGTTGATTAAATGCATTTAGTTTTAAATCTAAATTAGCCATAATTAAAAAATAATTTACAGGAACTAAGGCTCTTAAATCACATCTGTCCTTAAGTTCACATTTAATAACTCGCCAAAACCTAATAACCGTTGTGATTCAAAAAACATTCATCTCTTATAATCATGATCAATCAGAACAATCAGTGCAGACGGAAATAGTTTTAAGGAAAGCTTGCAGGAAGGAAATGTGCGTATTGATGTGATACTTTATTATTTTTCTATGATTAAGAACACCATGCAGCCTTGACTGTGCAAAAGAGTATTCAGAGGTGCTCTGCTATTTCTTCAGATATGTGCTATTGAGGAATTCCAGAATAATTAAATTTCATTATTTTATTGTTATTATGCTTGAATCGAATTGGCTTGAAATTGTCATTTTAAATGAGTAATTTTAAATGATTTTGTAGAGCATTTGTGTGCGAGTAGTATTACAATGCACTATGTGTCAGATTGGTGATTTATGACCTGATTTATGACCTTGTCGTTGATTGTCAGGTTGTCATATGTCAAATGTGTACATGGTCAGATTTATGACCTGATTTATGGCTATATGACCCCTCTGTCACCCTGACTGCCATGTCACCAGAGTCTTATCACCCCTGACTGACATGACAGTGGGGTGTGTAAATCAAAAGATCAAAACAGATGTTAGATCTGACTTTTGATGTATTTATGACTGGATTTATGATATTTTTATCTCTTACCTGCGCCATGGGGTTTTTATGGAGTTCCTTCCTGACCAGTTGTTAACTTCCAGGCTGGAGGTGTTTGGGTTCTTCCTGATTGTGGAAAAAATGGCTAAGCAAAGGGTGTGTATTGTCGCCTTAACAGGATCAATGTTTGTTTGATCTATACGGTATATGTTAATGCATAGTCACCAACAGTGTGGCTACCGACCCGTCTACATCTAAGCAAGGAGGTTGTCTGGGGCATCTGGCTTCCGTGTTTGTGTTTTAGGTCAACACCTTTGGTGGATTGGTGTCTAGACACCAGAGCCCAAAGCTTCTCCCCTATCTGTTTCCTACCGTGATGTAGTCGGTGTCCGATATAATGTTTTAATATGTTTGTTAACG